GAGAACTGTTTGTTTTTTAAAGCATGGTCTTGTCAAATTTGTGCCCCCCCCCAGAATCCTTGGGACAGACTGATAAATCAGTGTGAGAGTGTCTACTCACCTGGGGTAGTTTCCGTTTTGTTTTAAAATTTGACATTTGTAAGGGTTTTTGGCTAAGTTCAATACCACGCGAGCCACTGCGTGTTGGCAAGGTTTCCGTTTCAGTCGCCCACTCTGGGAACAGACGCTGTTTGCAGCCGCCCACTCTGGGTCAGACGCCGCTGTTGTCGCAGTATCACAGCCGCTTAACTCATAATGTGAGTGACGCCTGTGAGTATCTGGAATTAAGCCTACAGGATTTTTACTTCCTATAGCCTTAAATCCAGTAATGACATTACTGCTGCCTAATGTCATATCCTCAGTTGATCCGCGGGTACTTATTTGGCAATGCCTTATTCGTACCTGTCCTGCACATCTGCAGAACTAATATCAATACTTATGACTAAGCATATTAACAGCAAAATCATAAAGATAATCCAAATATTAGACTGGAACCAAAGTGCCAGTCAAAGGGCCGTCTTTGTACAAGTGTATTTTAAAACTTAGATATGTCGATCGTTTACTGTGGGTTTTTATATCCAAATAGTAAAGTTATAGGCAAGTGAATAATAATATGGATAGTTTTGATCATGTGCATGTTATAAAAACAAAAATTTCATAAAAACACGAATTTATTAAATATTATATCTCTTATTTTACACTATTTGACAACTAGTCGTTCAGCAAACAACATGACTTTTATCAATATATATGCGGATCCTCAGTTTTCAAATTTAAATAGCAGAAATACGCCTAATGGCTGTAATATGAGAATGATTTTGTGATTGTAATGAAATTAATTCCTCCTGATAATGTAGCATTATCACAGCAAACAATATCAGTTGAGAAATACTGGATAGATTCCTTTTTTAAAGGATTTAAAAATATATTGCATAAGTATTTTGGTTGAAAACATGAAGAATAAACTATATAATTAAAACAATCTAATAAGACCTTATTCCAGTAGTAAGACCAGTTTTTGTAATATTTTGGATATAAAGTGGTAGTCTGTACATTATTGGTTGGACAATTCTAAGCATAATAAATCTCGAAACTTTAAAGCAATATGTGAAAATCGAATATCTACATATTAATAATGAAAGAAGAAAGAATTGTGTAAATACGAGAATTGGTCCCTTTGATTCACCTTTCACCCATTTATAAATCAAAACAATTATTTTTTATTACCTCGCATGGTTACCTGTTTTATATAGAGTAACGTAGGAAAACTACAAGTCCGAATCAAAATATATAGTATATTGAGCAACGAAGGGTGATTAGATACTTTCGTTTAGTAGATGATTCCAAGACAAATTCATAAAAAAATTAGTCGATATATTAGGAAAATCCGCAGTATCATATGACATTGTGAAAAGGTACCGTGAGTTTGAATGTGGCAGACAGTTGTGCATAAAAGAACATATAAATAGAACCGGCATTACACAAGAATGGAGGATTAAAAAGGTCCACGATCTCGTGATGTAAGATCAATGTAACTATTAGAGAAGTGAAGATACTTGTACACCATACCATATGGTATATAATATACTTACTACTGAACTGAACTTAAAAGAATTGTCTGCAAGGTGAGTACCACTAATGTTAACAGATGGTTATGGTAGACCATGTATGAGCCCTTCAGACACCCAGACCTCCTGAGACAGGTCCATTGTATCACCCCTATCATACTGAATAAGCCCATGATTTTTGTCTTTTCTTTATCATAACTTATTTTTAATTTCTTATTTGTTATGTTGAAATTTTCACAAGTTTCTTATTATACATATATCTAACAATGAAGTCGAATCATTGTTAATAATTTCGATTTAATAAATCATTGATTTGTAGAATCCATAATTTCAGATGCATAAAAGAAATACTCATGGGAAAGTAGAGCAAGTGTTCTCTTGCATCAGGATAATGTAACAAATCACAGGTATGTCTTGCATACCGGTGCAATCGCTTATGTAGGCTTCAAATTAGTTGAATATCTGCCATATTCTCCACATGTGGTTCTCATCGATTACAGACTTCCTAAAACTTAAAGCACATTTGCGTGGTAAAAAAATTTCTTCAGATAATAATGTCATGCGTGTGGTAAATCAGTGATTTGCAGAGATCGAACAATTTTTCTTTAGAGAACGTTGTAAAATTAAAAGTGAAATCGTTGCAAAATTTTTATTTGAAGTGGGGCAAAGGTATCAATCCTCGTAACAACTTATAATCTCGCTTAAGCCCCTAATGCATTCAGACTGCCACTCATATAACCAAATTTTTTATCTGGAAATTAGTATACTGAAAAATAAATGAAACTAAACAAAATCACCGATTTAATAACCTATGCATAGGTTCTTATTTTATTGTCTTTTAAATAACGGAAATAGCCCTTAATTTCTGGGATTTAACATTTTTATTACCAATGTAATAATTACAAACTAAACGTCTTATTTTTTATTTTGTTCTTACTATGGCCGTTTCTTGTAAAAAAGCAGAAGGCTTATAGATCATAGTTTGAAGATATAGCATAATAAAAATTGATCCCTGGTTCCAACCTAAACATATTCAAACTGGGAATAAAATTAATATGATTGTACTTTAACAATTAACTCAGCTGTACCAGTCCCAATCCTGGGGTCCCATTAGCAAGAGATGGGAAAGGAGGAAGAGAAGTAACAGCACCGTAAAAAACCAGGCATCAGCTGGCTCCGTCTGATAGAACCCTGTCAGGGTTACAGATAATGAATGGTTAACGGTCTTGATGGCAGAAAACACAACCTTATCTCATTTGGCGGATAGAGCAGAAGAACCATAAAGGACTTTAATTTTAGGAACCTGGAATGTGAGAAATGTAACCAGTAAATATAGGGAAGTGACACAAGAACTGAAGAAATAGAATGTAGACAAGGTCATAGAGAAAACTAAAAAGATGGGTAGAGAAATTGAGGAACGGAACGATTACATCCATATATACAGCGGAGTTCCCAAAGATATGAGAACAAAAGCAGATGTTTCTAACCTGGCGAAGAAACAACTTCAGAGATTCATTATTAGTTGGATGCAAATTAACGAGAGAATAGTCCAACTAGAAATAAAATTAAAAGTATACACTTAGTAGTAATTGGAGCTTACGCACCTTGTAACGGCGACTCTGACGCAGAAAAAAACTAATTTCTTTAACAAATTGTCAAGCTTTCTGGATCAAATAAGCCGTAAACCGTAAGGAAGTGATACTGCTAGGTGATAATAAATGGAAGAACTGGCAAAAATACAACAGCTCAGTAGTAGGCCTCCATGGAGCAGAGAAATAATAACAGTGAAAAATTAATGGAGTTATGTTATCAGCAAATATTTAAAATCGTTAACGGATGGTTCCAACACAAAGAGATACACTGTTTTACTTGGAAAAAACTGTCAATAATATAAAGTCGATTATTGACTATATTATTACCTCCGAACGGCATAATGCTAGTATATCACTCTCACGACTATGGCCAGTATTGCAAACACAGGGCATTAAACACATTATAAAATCTGTGCAAAATCTATACCTTGATGTGACTAGTAGTATAAGAATGGGTGCAAAACTTACTCCTAGACTGTTTAAAGTACATGAATGAAGCATTAACAGACTGGAAAAGAAAATGCGGAGGGTGGAATACCAATAGGAAACACGGCACTGTATACTCTTCTATTTGCTGATGATCAGGTTAGATCATCCTATATGATGCGGGAATTGTTGGCTAATATGGCCTAGAAATAGAATCTCTCATGTAGATGTTAATAATAAAATATCTCAATAGAGCTATAAGACAAATGAACTCTCGTATTATGGAATGATAAAGTTAAACTAAACGTCTGATTTATAAGACAATGATAGAAAATTTATCTACATATGGATATGAAGTCTGGATCTTAAAAAAGAGACAAAGAGAAAAATTAAAGGCCATGGAGATGGATTACTGGAAAAGAAACAAGGATGGATTATTGGACCCAACACATAAGAAATGATGAGATCAGACGGAGGATGAAAGCAGCGTACGTATGTGGACACCTCTAGAGAATGGAAGAGAGTATATGGCCAGAAAAAAAGGTGTGGCAGTGGACTCCCGTCGAAAGAAAGAATCGAGGACGAACAAAGAGGACTAGGAATGTTGAGGTCCAAGAAGCAATGGTATCGACGGAATTAGTTAAAAATGACTAGATTGAGAGTAATCGCTGACGCAAAGGGAGCGAGAAACGGCTTAGGCTCTAACAGATTCGCAGACAGTTAGTGGCGGCCATAGCTCACTCACCAAGCCATACGACCTAGATTCGATCTCGGACATCAGAAATTTTTCTATTTCTAATTGAATTGAGCCGCCACCGTGACTCGGAGGGCAAGTAAAGTCGTCGGCACCAGCTACGTTAGTGGTCGTTAAACACTAAAACTTGAGCTATATATATATATATATATATATATATATATATATATATATATATATATATATATATATATATATGAGTGCAAAATATACAATAAGCTATTGGCTACAGTATGACCATTATAACAAGAAACGGCTTCAAAAAAACAGAAACAAAAACTTTAACGCTTAAAGGGTTCATTTTACTACTACTAGTATTAAATAAATGCACCTAATTTGGGGTAAATTATGTGTGAACGAATTTAACAAGACCTACAACTAAAAATGTTATGAACAACTTAACCTACCTCAATATATTATTGTAATTTTATTTTTTTTAACGTTATTGGGAATAAATGTCATTTTAATAACTAACGCAACAAAAATATCACATTTTATAAGAAATATTGATAAATAATTTTTTTGCTTCACTCCAGAGCAATATGGTAATGTAGCATGCTGAACGACGAAATATGGAAATTATTGTACATATTTATTAGAAATTTTAATTTCCAAAGTCCGCTATATACTTTTTACAACTAAAGTTGGGTGAATTTGACAAGACTGTAACACATATTCTTCGGTTTGACCTGCTGATTTACAGAATACCTCTATATATGTACCTATGTCAAAGGTACCTGGCCAGAAACAGCAGCTGTTAACAAAATACTTTCGGTTGTCAGAGGGTGTAAAGTTCTGAGGTTTTTACTATTTCCCAACCAACAGAAATTACTGGAAGCATAGGTGCAAAATAAACTCGATTTATTAATCTCAGGCTGCGTTACACTAAAATAAAAAAAGTAATTATTAAACATTCACAAATGATTTTGAGATCGTTAATTCAGGTAATATGTAATTAACGGGGTAGAGATATGTCACATCAAGCTTATATAGGTCACACCTCCCAAAAAGTTTCCAGCCATTTGACTCTTCACAAGAGTGACATTAGGTTACACGCTGATAGAAGTTCTCTAGACACACATGCTAACACAACAGGGCACTCTTTCGATCTTCCTAATGTAAAAATCCTATCCACGGAGAGCAATTATTCAAAAAGATTGTTTCTCGAGATGGCTTTCATTTTTCAAGAAAAAGAAACCATTTACAAAAAGACAGATACCAATAATTTAAGCAACTTATATTCATTATTGTTAACTTTAGATAAACATGAATCTACTAATACAGACAATTTATCGTCAACAATATAAGTTTTATTATAATATGAGATATACAATATCTCTCCTGCTTCTAAAATAAGTGTTTTTGTTTTTTCTTTTTCAACAAGTTCAGCGTCTATCAGGTATACTATTACCTTTACATCGTTATCATTTAAGATCTAACGTTCTGTCGTTTTAAGTTGGTAGCAACGAATTCACAACCAATGGACCACAGGAGTGATGACGTAGTTTTATTGACATCTGTCAGTTTCACTTTCCAAACAAGCCTTGTTTAGTGTGGATAATTTGTATTTTTCGTTATTTTTTCATTTATTTTATAGAATCTTTCGCTTTTTGCAATATTTAAGTATTCTAATAGTCATACAACAATTTTACAAGGTTGTGTAAATAATAAAGCACATTGTTTTATGCTAATAGCAATAAAATGTATGTATCAATAAAGTAAAGTTAGAATTTCTCAGTTTCAGAACTTTTAAACTATATTTCATAGAAATAGAACTATGAATTATGATGGTATTATCGTAAAAAACACTATACTTACAAGAAAAAGCAGCAGAGGAAGCAAAATGTTAACTTTATAGAAATTAAAAAGTCTTGAGATTTGACATTTCAATGTTTGTTTGGAAAGTAATAATGACAATGTGACGGTCGTGACGTCACATTCCTGCAGTCCATTCTTTTGTTTCTGACAAGAATATTTATAACCAAAAAATTTTATATTGTGACTACGTACATGTTTTGTAATTATTTTAACATAATTTTATTTAAATGTTTATGTATATGTGTTTTAACTATGTATGTTAAAGAACGTTTTTTAAAATCAATTTTTGGATAGTCTTCGCCATCATTTGTAGGGGTCAAATGAGTTGCCCATTTCATTTGATAAACATCACAACAACTAACCTCAATTAGTGTAAGATGCAAAGTAATTCTTACTCTGTAATTTGTACTAATTCTGTTTATTGTAGCACCCTGATGATGCAAATAAAGATTTGCGAAAGATTGGTAAACTAAAAAGAGTACTTCTTTGTCCTATCTGCCGCTGCACACCCAACCAAATATATATATATATATATTATATATATATATATTATATATATATATATATATATATATATATAATATATATATAGACAATTGAAGGTAACCGGGAACGACCCAATAATAAGGAAGCAATAAAAAACAGGTGCTTCAAAGTGAGTGTCTTTTATTAGTAGTCAAGCTTTCGCCACATAATTTTTGGGCTTCATCAGAACTTGCTGTAATGGAAAAACATTCTTTACAATCATCGTAATTAAAGATGTTATATTTAATATTACCTTAACGTTGACACTATTTCTTAGTGTAAATTATTGCAGATGTGGAACTACACATTGTTTTTCAAATACAAACCAAAACGCATCTCCTACTTAGAGGTAGACGGCAAACAAAGCTTAAATTAATTAATTATTAAATTTGTTATATTTTAATCACCATGTGGCCGGTATTATTTTTGACAAGACATTGATTAATTAAGTCATGTGTCATATCGACTGTCACTTATCGATACGGCACCTGTCTTAATTAATTCTTCTTTTTGTTGGTTATAAGACACTACCTTTCTTCAGTCACATTATTATGGCTGAATAATGAATTTCGTTTAAAATCACAATTAAAATTGAATATATGTATACACACATATATACATATATATATCCATATACACATATATACACATGCACACACACATCCGCGTGTATATAGTTCCCATTCTATATGAGCATATCATGTTTAAAATTCTTTTGGTTTGTATTTAGTGTTGTATATAGTGGTCAACACTCCGGTAAGATGTATGTATTACATACCTTCTGTTAGAGAACTAAGTGTATCATGATGCTGATGGATGTAAAAATAAAACTAAAAGTTGGAGCTTGTTCTCAAAAGGGAGGTAATACATCCGGATAGATGTTAGTGTATATCACAGATATTTCGTTGTTTTTTTATAACATTCATTTATGTTAGTAGTATAAACACAATATGTCCAAAGAAGGGTCGGACATTTACAGATATGCTAAGATTTAACAATAGACAAAATAGTCTAGTTGACTGAACATAAAATATACAAAAAGGAAAAACATTCTTTGTCTATGACGTTTAAGTTGTAAAATGTTTTTGTTTTTATTTAAAATTATTAACATATTGACTTGTAAGTTAAATTGAATAAAAGTATAAATTTAGTGCAGGCAATCAACTAAGTCATAAGGGGTCGAAATACATCAAACGTACGATTCAGTGAAGTGTGGATCAGCAATGTTATGTAATTCTTGTGTAATAAGGTGGTAGTTTTTTATTTTTAGTGAATTTCTGTTGTAAAACATAAGTATAGATGGAACTCAAGTTATCAACATCGTTACTGTCCTTGATTATATAATATATATATATATATATAATATATATATATAATATATAATATATATAATATCTTGTTTGATATATGATATATATATATCATATATATATATATATAATATATATATATATATATATATATAATATATATATATATATATAATATATATATATATGTATCGGATTGATTACGGCTGTCGCCGCTTCTCCGCCCCCAATTTCCATCTTTTTCTGTCATATCCAGTTGCGTCTTCTTCTCCATAGTCGTCCTCTCTTTCTTTTTTCAGGAGGGATCCATTCCAGTACTCTTCTATGCCATCTGTACTCTGACATTCTTTTAACATGTCCGAACCAGATTAATTGTTTTCTTTCTATGTCATCATTGATATTTCGCTCCATTTTCATTTTGTTTCTTATTTGTTCGTTTCTAACTCTTTCCAGTTTCGATCTACCGCAGCTTCGTCTCAGATAATCCATTTTTGTCCTCATAAGTTTGTTTCTATTAGCTTTGGTGACGTTCCATACTTCCGAACCGTAAAGTGTTAAAATTTTGGACTATACTACCGTAAATGTGTTTTTTGGTTTCTCGTCGAATTGTTTTTTTGCCAGAGAAGAGAGTTTAAATCACGGGTCGCTGCTCTGCCCTTGTTTATTCTTTCCCTGATTTCATCTGCGCTATTTCTCTTCTTGTTGAAAATGACCCCCAAATATTTGCAAGATTGCACGCCTTTGATTTTGCAAGACTAGGTCACATATTTCATCTGTTCCCACTGAGAGATATTCACATTTTGTCACATTCATGTTTAGACCTGCCACCTCATATTCTTCTTGCATTTTTCTTACCATATAGCTAAGATCGTAGCTGTCTTCGGCAATTACTACTTGGTCATCCGCAAAGAAAAGTGTATATAGCGTGTTTTCTTCCACCGTTATTCCCATGTTTCTATATTTTTTACCCATTTCACTAAGGATCTGTCCAAATAGATTTTAAATAAGGTGGGTGACAGACAGCAGCCTTGTCTTAGTCTCTTTGTTGTTTGAAAAGGAGAGGTGATTTCTTGTTCCATTTTAATTCTTGCAAAGTTTTGTTCGTAGTATTTCTGAGTGGCGTTAATAAGAATTGGGTTTATTTTCAAGTTACCCATTTCTATCCATAGTTGGGAGATCGGTACACTTTCATATGCTTTTTACAAATCTATTAAAGCTATATGGGTTTCTCTATTTCTCTGCACTCGTTTTTCCATTGAAATTTTTAATGTGAAAACATTATCCATAGTGGAGCGTCCGGCCCTAAATCCCGCTTGTTCTTCGGGTTGTTTGTCTTTAATATCATTTTCTATCAGGTTTCGTAGTACTTTTGAGTATAGTCGGCCTATAGTAGCAATCACTGCGATCCCTCTATAGTTTTTAGGATCCGTCTTTGTGTCTTTCTTGTGTATCGGAGAGATATAGGATTGTCTTTCGTCTAACAGTTTTGATAATCCATACCTAATCAACTCTGGATGTATTCCGTCTGGGCCTGGAGATTTTCTTAATTTCATTCCCTTAACTGCTTCTTTCACTTGTTCTATTGATATTTCTATTCTTCCTTCTACTTCCATTTGTTCATTTGTCTGTTTAAACCTTTCTCTTCTCTCTGTTAATAAGTTCTCAAGATGCTCTACCTATGTGTTCTCTGGTATTCTATTTATTATGACTTGGTTTTTTGTCGTTGTTCTCATCGTTTTTATAGTTCTCCAGGCTTCAGAGCTCTTTGTCCTATATGATTGTCTAGGTATTGGCATTTTTGTTCCCATGCACTATTTTTCTTTTTAATCACTTCTCGTTTGACTTCTTTATTCAAGTTTTTATATTGTTGTTTTGTTTGTTCGTCTCCCTGTTGTAATAACTTTTGATATACTTCCTTCTTTCTTTTTATCTTTTCTTCCACTTCTTTATCCCACCAATATGGTTTATCTACTCTCCGTACCTGTGGCCCTAAGTCTTCTAGCGCTGTGTCTTTCATGCAGTTTTTTATATGTTCGTATTTATCCGTCGTTGATCTGTATGGTACTTGTAGTTTTTGTGTTAGTCTCCAGGAGTAAAGTAACTGTGTGCTCTCGTTATCTAGATTGTCTAAGGTGTACGTAGTTCTTTCTATTTTTGCTCTGTGTTCCTCTCTGTGTTCTCGTCTTCTCTGCTTTATATAAATGAAGCTCTGTCGGCCGAATTTGGACGATATAACCAAGACCAAATGTGTAGCAAATGACACTTGAATATAAGCACGTCTGGTAACCAGTACCTGTTCACATTAAACCATATCATTAACTTACCTATAAGTGTAAAACAATATACTCAAAGTAGTATTCTACCTTGGATTAGAACGGTCTACACAATGACTAAAACGGAAAGAGTACAAACTATGGAGAATTTGTGATATACTGTAATGGGGTACGAAATGAGACACATCCGTAATCAATTTTGGAACGAATTAAGCATATATACATGAACAGTGTTTTACCAGCAGGCACCTCAAGTTCTGTAAGCTAGGTAGTTTAACAAGTTAAGCCATTTCGACACGAAATATCTGTTGCTGAATATGGCTTTCACAATTTATGTTTTGATTAAATAGCATTCCTAGATATTTTATTTCGTTCGTATAGGAAAGATTTTGGTTGTCAAGCGTGAGGTTTGGTTTATCCTCGATATGAGGGTCCTAGTAACAAAGTCGGAAATCTCCACTTCTTACCAAAATTGAGTTAGTTACATCAAACTATTCTTATTTTAAAACATCATCATCATCATCCAGCCGAATTTTCACATCCATTGTTGGATATAGGCCTCCTCCAAACGTCTCCAGTTCTCTCTATCTCTAGCTGCTGCAATCCAGTTTGTTTCTATTCTCCTTAGGTCGTCGGTCCATCGGGTGGGTGGTCTGCCTCGACTTCGCTTGTCGGCTCTTGGTCTCCACTCCAATAATCTCTTCGTCCATCTTCCGTCTTCCATTCTAGCAACATGTCCAGCCCACCTCCACTTTTGTTTATTGATTCGCAGTATAATATCGTCTACGCCAGTTCGTCGGCGTATCTCCTCATTTCTTACGCGATCTTTCAAGGTCAGGCCCAGCATTGATCTCTCCATTCGCCTTTGTGTTACCCTCAGTTTTTCGGCCGTAGCTTTCGTTAAAGTTAAGGTCTCTGCTCCGTAGGTCAAGACTGGTAAGATGTATTGGTTAAATGCCTTCCTTTTCAGGTGAATTGGGATATTGTTTTAAAATGTCTCCATCGTCCATATGCGCCCATCCAACATGATTCGTCTATTAAGCTCGCAGGTTTGGTTGTCTCTGGTTATTCTAATTTCATGACCCAAGTATGTGTATTTATCGATTAATTCTACCTTGTTGTTATTGATCTGTATCTCTTCGCTGGGAACCATATTGGTCATCATTTTGGTTTTCTCGAAATTTATCTCCAGCCCAGTTTCTTGTAGTATGTCATTCAGTTCTTGGAGCATGTCTTTGATCTCTCCCAGATTATCTGACAGAAGCACGATATCGTCCGCAAAAGAATCGCTCCAGATGATCCTTTTGTTGCATGTTAGCAGACTCAGACGTATGAACGTGGTGACATGGTATCACCTTGCCTGACTCCCCTTTTTTTCTTTATTTTATTAGTTGCAGAATATAGACTTATGGTTGTTGTGGCACTTTCATATATATTTTTAATTATATTACAATATCTGTGGTCGATCCTGCAATCTTGTAGTGCTCTTAAGATGGACGGTAGTTCCACTGTATCAAACGCCTTTTTAAAGTCTACAAATATCAATGCCAAGGGACGGTTATATTCGTTAGTTTTTTCTATTAGGGTTTTTAGGCACTGCAGGTGATCGTTTGTGCCGTAATTAGGGCGGAAACCAGCTTGTTCTCGAGGTTGGTAAAAATCCAGCTTTGTCTCTAATCTATTCGTTATTATTCGGGTGTATAATTTATAAAGATGGTTAAGGAGACTGATTGGTCTGTATCTTTCCAGGTCTGCTATATCTCCCTTCTTGTGTAAGAGTACAGTTATTGAATTATTCCACTTTGTTGGGATATTTTGATTCCATAGGCATAGATTAAAGAGCTTTTGAATTTTGGCAATCAGTACTGAGCCTCCTATCTTTATCGCTTCCGTGACGACACCGTCCTCCCCCGGAGCTTTGTTATTCTTCATATTTTAAAACATTATACAAAAATAAAGAGAACAAGAATCAAAAACAGCATTATCCGCTTATAAAATAGCATATAAATTTAGACTAAAAATCAAGCACGGCAATCTCCATGAATGGTTTAGAATCAAAGTCGGCAATGTCCTCCTTGACCAGCTAAGGACAAGATTAGACAAGATTCTTTTATTCTAAAATGTTGTACAGTTCAACTACCTAAACGTCGCCGTCCAAAAAACTCTAGAGATGAAGCAAAAACAACGTCTGCGAAATGCTTTGTAAGGAATAGTGTAATGAAGCAAAATATTCCAGTGTGCCAAAAAGCCCTTTTAAACATACTAAATACTACGAAACAGCGCCTCACATACATTATGAAATCATTCGTAAAAATAAGAGAAGCACCTACGGAAAAAGAGAGAGTGACAGAAAAACTGCAAATTTTAAAGGAAAACAACAATCAGTTCAAAAATTTATTAATACTTTTAAAAGTATTGAATCGAATTACTGTCGCTCTTCCACACATACACGCTACCTTTCTTCCGATTTGTCAATACAAAAGATGTTCCAAATGTATATTAATTAGTTTTCTCCAGAAGAGAGTAAAACCATCATACTGTAGAATGATTTTTAATACAAGTATAGCCTTAGTTTTACTACTCCCCGTACGGATGTGTGTTCCCTATGCATTGAGTTTACAGAAAAAATTAAAAGATCTATAGATGAAGAAGTCACAAATAGTCACGAGATGATTTGATAACACTATCTTTCGATTGTCAAAAAAACTCTTGTACTACCATGAATAAAGGAAAAAACTATGACAATGCTTTCTAAAATTATAGGTACAGTAGAAGATTATTATCAATAAAAATTGAACTTACCTCGGTTCCGTGGTATTTACAAAGACATCAAGGATTTTATCGTCGACAATACTGTGCAATAGGATTTTTACAGGTACTAAACAAATTCCCTTTTCTAAAAAGTTATGGGAAACAAAGGCAGGGTAAACTAAATTATAGGAAACTTGCTTCTGGGTATTTTGAGCTTTTTCCTCTTCTAATATAGTTTTATCACAAACGTGTATGAAGGTATCTGAGAGAATTCGTTCCATTTGAATCACATCTTCATCTCTTCGGTTGATTTCTATAGGTATACTCGTCTGGCCGTTTGCTACTCTAGTGTTATTTCCATCTGATACCATAGCTTGCCATTGTACAAGTAAGATACCGTCTTTATTTTCCTTAAAGTTAAAAGATTCATGGTCATCATACATTGTCAGGCACGGTCTTTCAAGTTTTCTGGCAAATTTTATGAATGAGCTCGATAAACTCTGGATTAATTCTTGGTCCATAGTCAGTGATACATTACTATATTTTGACGATTCATGTACCGATCTCTTAGCTTTGAGTAAAATATGCGCTGATTCCTGTGAATTTAGAACAATATACTTAGTTTTTACTACTTCTTTTGTCAATGTCCAATATTTGCTCAGCAAACCAACATTAAGTAACTTTATTTCAGTCATTATAGGGCTGTAAGTCTTATTCAAGTTTGTTATCTTCATTGCTAACACTAATTCTTCCACTGATTTTGAGTTATGACTAGCTTGAGTTGACACATCGATCAATAGGGATTCCTGAACCAATAGATCCCAACTATGCCTCACCAACCGATACCTGCAAAATAATAAGCATAAATTGGATTAGATTACTATATGATATACTATCATTTTTTGTCAATGATACGTTGCAAGAATACATTGGAATTAGTGGAATTAGTTAGGTTAACTCCGTATTTTGTTAATTTGTGGGTTTGTGGGCGAGAAGCTTACAAATTATCACAGCTGATCTTAAGTGCAAAGGAGCAAAGTTGAGCAACCGATCAGCGATAGCTCGTAAAAATAACCATTGTCAAAACAGCCGATACATAGTTTCGATAAGGATTGAAAACCGAAGACGAACGATGCAAAGGAAACCGATAATGAATATAGGTACACGGAACGATATTCAAAAAGATAAACGGAATTATCCAAAAAGTTACGTAACAAAACATGAATCTATGTAACGGAAACTAAGAAAAATAATCATTTTTTCTTAGGTATTCCTACAGGCGTGAGCAAAGAAGGGGGTGTCTGGTTAACATTAACGAAAGTACAAGCTGAATATAGCCGCAAATGTCAACCATGAAACAAACTATTTCGGTTTGGCAGTGTTGGCATGTTTCTATAAATGCATACATGATATAAGGAAACAAGGTATGCTCACTTGGTTGGCTCGTTTTTGCACATTTCTGCGCCGACCAAAATCCACCATCTTTTCGATATGTTACATGCGTGTAGGGATGGTGACCTGATCCCGTACCAGTTACTTTGGAACATGTATTTTATTTATACTTGTGGAACTGATCCCTAACACCAATATATTATAATAAACGAGTACGGGTCATGAGCGTATAAATTAAGATCTTTATTTATACGTCCATGGTACGGGTACTGTACTCATAGTAAGTGTAAGTGAGCATACCTGACCTGATCCACAAAAATACTTGGATCAACCACCTCTACATGCGTGACGTCTGCTTTGTTTACGTCCAGTGTTTTGCGTGGTTTTGCATTTTTTAACCTTACTTTGCAATGTATTAGAATTTAAAAGTAAATGTGTTTTGTTTTGTTTCGATTTTTTAAAAATTTTTTTTAGCAAGAGTCTGTTCAGATCATTTTAAATATGAATTAATTGGATTAATGTATAATATTAATTTTATTTTATTTAATTTAACTACGATATTTCGTATCAATTTTGTACATATTTGAATTGCCGCCTTCAAAATGGCGGATTTTGGTCGTAAATGCGATTGGCTGTTCAAAATAGATGCGCGTGAGCATACCATGTTTCCTTATATCATGAATGCATATGTTGTATGCTTCAAATATAAAGAAATAAAGCTTTAGAAAAGTACATTTTGATTATATTATGTATGAATTCTGCAATTTTTAATTTATATAAAGCAATAACGAATAATTGTATATTTGTCTCTTTCAAAATTAATTGAAAATATCTGCTGCTATCTGGCGACCGGTGATTTGCAAATTGTCAAGTCTTTCCGCTAATGCCTAAAATATCACAGGATAATTGCCAAAAAAATTTCTAATAATTAACTGCAATTAATCTACAAAGCAACAAATTTTTACTCGTTCTTGTTTTATATAAATTAAAAATTGTAGATTGTAGATTCAACATTTGAGTATTTTGAACATGGTCTTGTAAAAATGCAATATAAAAAACTTTAAGCTAGATCATCTCACATTTAGTTATTTGTAACATAGCACCTTCACCTTCCAAGCCCTTCAATTCTACCAGCGTTTTATATAATTCACTTTGATCATTTTCTGGTGCATGTCCTGTAGGTGCATATATGTTTATGATTGTTATATTGACTTGTTTGTTTTCTATTTTTATATATAACATTCGTCCATTTATAGCTTTGAATTCTGTAAGCTTGTCCCTTGAATTACTATTAACCATAAACGCTGTACCATTTTTCCTTGCTTGATTTTTCCCGAGTAGAATATTGTGTAATTTTTTTTAATATGTCCTTCCTTTCAGCTTACTTTTTGTGGTACTAGTATGTTGATTCTGTATGTTAGCATTCTCTTGCTACCTCTACCATTTTCCCTGGTCTCAATAATATCTGAACATTCCAGGTTCCTAGGTTTACTCTATTTTCTTCTTGTTTTTCTTTTTTTATCTCTTTTTCTTATGTTTGATTAATTGTTCTCTTTCAGTACTCGTTTCATCATCATGATTCGACCATCGTTTTCTTCAGTTTTCTTTACAGTCTCTTTAAATCCCATAGACGCATTTTCTATATTCGTTTGCCGAATTGTTTTAGTGATACTAGTAGTTTGTTCTTTTCTATGTTCCACAACATAGTTTACATATAATTCCATAATCTTTTCTTATCTTTTGTTGGATTATCTTCTGGTAGATAAGATTAAACTGGTGCGGAGTGTAAATTATCTGTGTATGAATAACTAGAAATATATTTAAACTATTTACAAACTGCTTAACAACAAGTTAATATCATTCACTTAATGTATGTTGGTGTATTCTTAATTATTATTAGGTTAATGTCAATATTATATCACTTGCCCACTTGATTCCGTCACATTGCCTGTTGGAACACAAAACACACAGACATGTGACAGGCTCTATGTTGTCACACTAAACTAATTTTCCTATCAAAGTGTATTAGGTTTGAACACCTTCTTTTTCTGTTAGATCACACACCTACTATAATATTTTTCTTTCTTATTTCTCTTTCTAGCTCTTCTATTCTTTTTTCATGTATTTTATTTTTTGATTTTAATGCTAAATTTTTAGCTTTTAATTCTGCCACTTCCACTTTCATTAGCTGAAAATAATTTTGCACTTCATCTATTTTTTGTTCTATTATTTTACATCTCTCCTCAATATTATCTAATTTTTCACTTATCTTTTTTATCATTTCCTCCATATTTACTCACATATGTTGAATATAGTCGGTATAAATATATTATTTGTCTATAAAATGGGTCATCCAAGTGAAAATGTCTTCTTGCCATAACAATAGAATCAATAAAACAACAAATTCAAACAAAATCAGCTGTTATTTCATTCCGAAAACGTTAAAAGAAAATGATCGTGTTGTTTTAGAAAAACACGAAACTGTTCTCACTGCAAATGAACCACCAACAAAAATAATCGGTAATTATTTACTAAGCCGGAACGCCTTAAAAATGCCCAATTTTTGTGGACTTATCCGAAAAAGTGAAAAAAAAACCTCATATTTTAATGTTTTCTTTGCTTTAAACTATTAAAAGTGCCCAAATAATAAAAAAAAATCAGAAAAAAATACAAAAAAAGTGTTATGAACCAAAAAAAATTACATAAAAAGCAAAGAAAAGTATATATACATGTCTTAATAAAAAAAAAACGTAACTAAAACATATTAAATATCACTATTTTTACTGTAAAATTATGAAAAAATGCGTAAAATTGTTTAAAATAATCAAGATGTTTAATATTTCAAAACAATATGGCGGCCATGCGCAAGAAGTTAAATTTTATGTACATTTGACATCGTTGCCAGTTTTAACATTTAAAATACCTAAATTTTAAAATTTAATGAAAATTAAATTTACTTTAAAAATTACCTTAATAAACAGGTAGATAAAATCCTAATAACTAGGTGGATGTTTGTTCCACCTAGTTACGGCAGCGGTAAAGAATGCATGCGCTCTCTCCTTATCAGGAAATCTTCACCGACACACCATTTTGTCTTTAATAATACCGTGTTTGATCATAAAATCTAATGCACTAGCTTTATTCAAACATGACAATAAAACTAAACCAACCTAACCTAACCTAACGCTCGTAAAAAAGCAGAATAAGAATAAAATTTTGTAATATAATTAAAAATCAAATTTTTTTATTTTTCTAAGAAAATATGATAATAAAACGTAACCAAACCTAACCTGACCCAAAAAAGCTATAATTTTCAGTTAAAAGTAGGTAATAATAAAATGTTATTTTAATGTAAAATTTGAAATTCATTAGAAAACATAATTTTGAATAACTATGGCAACACTGGTTAAAATTACCATTTTTGACCATAAGAAACAGTTGTCACTCCTGTCATTTCTTGTTGTTTCATGGTAAATAATGGCGGTGGCTTTTAAAAATCGGGCATATTTTAAATGGAAATTACATAAAAAATAACGTCTTGCACCGCATAAAAATCATTACACAATCATTAGTAAGTGAAGCAGCATTCATTGATATAAGTTTCATCTCCGTAAACATGGTTCCGGCTTATTACACTAGTACCAAATAATCACAACAGAAGTTAGAAGATGCCAACTTCCAACCATGTCAATCCAGTATAAAATATGAAACCAAAGAAAATAAAAATAATAGTGAATGATTTTTATATTTTTGTGAGTTTTTGTTGTTTGCAGAGTTTATTTTATTTACTTTTTTTATTATCTTTTGTGAAGATAACTGAGTCTTTCTGAAACAAACAAGTGAACCAGCACATACTGGTTGCGACCTTCTGGCGATCAAAGGAATTTGTGCAGCGTTCTGACGGCAATCGCGGCGATATAATTAGTTTAGCGTTCAGAATGCTGCAGTTTACATTTATCGCTGGTCGCGTCGATGCAAATAAAAGTGGATATCGAAAAACTTATTGAAATTGTAAAAAATATCATACATTGTTGGACCTATCCCATCCAGATTACAAGAACGTACGTTTTAAAAATAAAATCGTCCGGTAGCATCAACTGGTTCCGTAAAATCTGTTTCTTGTTTGGTGATTTTTTGTCTGATCTAAAATTTCATCAAAACTTTCAAAATTCGTTCTAAAATATGTATAGAAACGGTTCTCATCTTTGCGAAGTTCTGGGTACAATTTATGAAATTCTCCTTGTTGCTTGCGCCTCAGATTTATCGTCATGTACCCAAACGTCTCTTATTTTTCTTTAAAATAATCTGCATAAATATCTTTATGATCTTTACACTACGACAGATCCTCGAAAAAGCGCAAGAGTTTAACATAGATATGTATCATATTTTTGTCGATTTTAAAGCGGCATATGACAGTGTCTTAAGACCAAGTCTTTACAACGCTATGAATGAGTTAGGAATTCCAAAAAAACTCATACGTTTGATAAAAGTGACAATGGCGAAGATGCTATAAGCAGTAAAAATTCAAAACGACTCGTCAACCCCATTTCAAATACATAGGGGTTAAGGCAGGGAGATGCGCTAGCGTGTCAGCTTTTTAATGTCGCCTTAGAAAAAGTTGTACGAGACGCTAATTTAGATAGCAGGGGAACAATATTTAATAGATCAGTCAAAATTCTAGCATATGCAGACAAGAACTAGGGCGAGAACTGCGGAAATCCTAACCGAGCTAGTAGCAGCAGCAGAACGAATGGGGTTACATATAAATCAAATAAAACCAAATTCATGGCGACTAACACAAACACAAGAGCTGGAAATGTTGACACAAATTTAATCATCAATGACCAAAACTTCGAAGCAGTCAATGAGTTCATATATCTAGGGACATCGGTTAACCCCAATAATAATACATCTGAGGAAATAAAAAGGCGAATAATAATTGCAAACAGGTGTTATTATGGTCTATCAAAGTACTTAGCTAACAAACGTCTGTCTCAAAAAACTCGTATAAGGCTGTATAGAACACTGATAGTCCCCGTTCTCACATACGGATCAGAGGCATGGACGCTAACGAAAACAGATGAATCCCCTCTATCCATTTTTGAAAGAATGGTGCTACGCAAGATATTTGGAGCGGTCTGTGAGAACGGAATATGGAGGCGTAGATATAACTTCGAACTGCAGAATATCTACAAGCATACGTTTGGTGATAAAGATATTACCACTATAATTAAGCGAAACCGCCTGCAGTGGGCAGGACATGTAGCCCGGGCCCCTGAATCGAACATGATAAAAAAGATTCTAACAGCGCAACCTGTGGGAATGAGACGACGGGGTAGACCAAAGCTGAGGTGGATGGATGGGGTAACACAAGATGCGGAGAAGATCGGATTCGGCAACTGGAAAATTCAAGCAAGGGACAGAACAGAATGGCGTAGAAAGCTTGAGAAGGTCGAGGCCCTCTAAGGGCTGTAGCACCAAGATGATGATGATGATGATAAATATCTTTATTTGTAAATAGAATAATAGAACGCTACGCATACCTTTTATTAAATGTTTGCGATGCTTCTTCTTGTAAATCACTCGCACATTTTATAAGCTACAATTCCAACTGTATTTGAATGTGTTCGCTTTCTACAGAAACCGAGATCGCCATCGCCATCGCGGACGTAAATGCGACGATTCAAACTGTGTACAACTACAAAAATAAAGTAAATGCAAAGAATACTCACCTAGGAATATTAAAGCTATACAGGTTTTCATAATAAATAAGTAAATCTACTTTAGTAACTCCTTTTTTAAGGGGCGCCTTAATCCAGATAGATGCGGATGCTTGTTTCCCGGGTGACAAAATTCTGCCAGTTACATAAATTTTTGTTACATGGTGTTTCCTAATCATTTTGTCTCTGAGAGCTGGTATATTTAGGTCACTTGGGTTACAGCTAATGTCTTCTTTTACTTCACCGTCGGAAAGTATATGAGGAACTGGTGTTGCTATGTAGATGTTTTGGAGAGGTACAGTACTATTATTGCAAAAAGTAACTTTGACTTGGCGTATTTCATCCATTAAAAAGTCCGTATTCAACTCAGCAAATAATACCTGTAAATTAAGAAGGTCTTGGTACAGCAAATTAATAGATCAAAAATTTTAGAGCAAATAATATAATATGTATCGAATATGGATTATGCAAGATTAAATTCATGAATAAAAACATAAAATTTTATGGTAAACTTCAGTGAGTACAAGAAAAAGAGTTTTGGAATAATTTCCGAAGTAGAATTCGAAGCTCCAAAATAAACGAATTTTCCATTAAACTTCTGATGATACGCATTAAAGATAGTAAATAACATTAAAATGCCACAAGAAAATATCTTCAGAACCACATTCCTTCATATTATAGTTCTCCTGACTTTTCTTTGGTGTTTTCCTTAGTGAGAGCGCACACCAAAGTGACGTGGCAAGTGGCAAGTAGCAAGTAGCACGCGTCTAGCATGTTACTTCAAATGTAACCAATGCAAACGAATGATTAGAATGAATGACGTCACTGTCATTTTGGTGTGAGCTGAATCATTCGTTTTCATTGGTTACGTTTTAAGTAACATGCTAGCCGCGTGTTACTTGCTACTTGCCACGCCACTTAGGGAGAGCGCCCACCAAACTGGCATGACAATTGGCAGGTAGCAAGTAGCATGTTACTTAAAATGTTACCAATGCAAACGAATTATTCAGCGTACACCAAAATGACAGTGACGTCATGCAGCTTGCTACTACTTTTTGCCACGTGCTACTTGCATTTTGTATGTGTTTGATGAAAAATTTAAATATGGAAGACAGCCCAGAATTTAATATTCATTTTGACTCATTAATTGAGAAATTTCCAGGTAATTATGACAACGCAAGTACAGAATTTTGCAGAAGGATTGAAATTTTGCCAGATACATATTTAACTCTTTAAATACAATAAATACACTATGCCCTTTTAATACATCTCTTTTCAATAAGGGCGTGACCAAAACTGACGTTGCGGACGAGTTTTGTTCATACTGTTAGCATAACTTCATCCTCAGAGGGCGACATTTTTGAATTTAACAGTGCCGCCATGCCCGTGCTATGTTACTGTCATGTTACATGTCATGCTGGTTTGGCGGACGCTCTCGCTTAGAGGGTACGATCACCATCTCCTTCCATTTTTTATATACATTTTATTAAACAACGAGCAAACAACTACCTATTTCCAATTGGTTTCAGGTAAAAACGCTAGTACATTAAGTAGTACACCATTAACCATTTAGTTAATTGGTTTTTAGCGAATAAAAACAGGTGAGAGAATCTATTTCCATATTAGATAATTATTATCAAGTTTATTCTAATTCCTGTTTACATATTTAATCGCAAAATTATTTACTACTACGTAAAAACTTGGGTTTAATTTTCCAACCTAGGCAAATAGTAAATCTAATACGAATTAAATTATCCCCTTGAAAAAGCAAACAATTGCAAGCAGTAATAAATAGGTTATATACCACGCTGAGAAAAAGCCGGAGTCTCCGAGGAGTCGATCCGGATTCGGATAGCTTCTTATCGCAGCGTTTTTATCAGAACCATGTATACAAAGAACAGGTCCGGACTGCGGTTAGAAGTGAGGTTGTTCTTTAAATTAAATTCGTCGTTTGAACTACTGAAATTACATTTTCACTACCAACAGCTTCGACTACACCTACAGAGCAGAATTAATGCAAAGACACAATGAATTGTTCCAGGAAAACCATGCAAGATCAAATAACGAACAACAATTATTTGCAGCAAGGAGACAAACAAAAGGTGAAAATGATACCTGACAGAAGAATATAAAAAGCTACAGTGCGTGCCTTATTTAGTGTGAGGAGATTAAGAACTTGATTTTTAAAAATGCCCAATTGGAACAAATCTTAAATAAGCTAAAAGAAGAAGGGGGAAAAATAGAATACCATACGGATGAGAAAGAATTGGCGAAAGAAACTGAATTTATTAGGGTAAAGAAAGAAATAACAAAAAGAGGAAAATAGGTACCTCGTTATTCCCTCCGCAACAAAATAAAGTGGCTAATAAGCCAATACAAAAATAACCACCACCTACTATAGTCCAATTTCTCAAGAATGGAGGTCAAGCATCCTAATACCTCTCTTCAAAAAGGAAAACAAATCGGACCCGGAAAATTACAGAGGAATTAATTTATTAAACACAACAATAAAATTAACAACCAAAGTGATAACAAATAAACAGAATGAAATTATAACACTAACAGAAGAACAAAAAGGTTTTATTTCGGGAAGATCATGCACTGACGCTATATTCATAATGAGGTAAATGGAAGAGAAATCATTAGAACACAACAAACCGGCATATCTATGTTTCGTGGACCTTAAGAAGGTATTTGAATGGGTTAAATTAAGAGACGTTATCCACATATTATACGCTAGAGAGATACCTATAGGAGAAATCAAAACGATCGAAAATATATACCAAAACAACACAATAAAAGTAAAAATAGAAGAAGAACTTCTTCTACTTTGGTTATTAATTCAAAATTTTATATAATAATAGCTTAAAATTAATTTAACAGATGTTACATGTTTTGCTGGTAATTTTGGCAATACTGACAATTCTTTAAAAATGGAATTATCGAACCAAGTCGCAGAGAACTCACAACAACCAGATGCAAGAAAGGAGATTGGATGACAGAAGAAATCTTGGAAATGATTGAGGACAGAAGAAGGCAAAAGAATATCACCATAACTCAGTATCAGTTACATACTGATAGAGACTAGGACCGAGTAACGACAGCCTGGAGAGAATTTGGAATGAAATTGAATACAAAGAAGACAAAAACGATGGTCATCAGCAAGCACCAAAACAGAAGGGTGAAAAATGCAAAAAGTTCTATGCAACCGCCAGCTGGGCATCTCATTGAGAACTAGAATACTTAAGTGCTATGTTTTCTCCACCTTGCTCTATGGTGTTGAAGCCTGGACAATGACAGAAGCAACACAAAAAAGAATCCAAGCATTCGAACTCTGGTGTTACCGTAAAATGCTCAGAATATCCTTGCGGAAGTCTTGCAGAGGATGAATAAGGAAAGAGAGCTTATGCTTATAATAAAAGAACGGAAAAACACAATATTTTGGTCACATCATAAGATATCAAAAGTATGAACTGCTCCAACTTATAATCGAAGGCAAAGTCAATAGCAAAAGAAGACCAGGAAGAAGACGCAACTCTTGGCTTAAAAACCTACGGCAATGGACGAACATGACCTCCATAGAACTATTTAGGGCTACTACAAATACGATTAAATGTGCAAATGTAATGGCCAACGTCCTTAAGGATAAGGCACCGTAAGAAGAAGAAAGAGACTTACTTCGTTGGAAAATGCCAAGAAATAGAAGACTTACAAAACAAATATGACAACTTCAATATCCATAAGGAAGTCCATAAGGAAGTTAAACAATTAGCTGGGGTAGCAAAACAAAAAACCTCAAGCGTACTATTGGACAAACAAGGAAACATTTGAGTGGATACGGAACAAAAACTAGGAAGATAAAAAGAATATATAAAGGAATTATTCCATGACCAGAGACAGGGAAATATATATGAAGATAATCAGAGTAAAGACGAGGGACCCAATATAACAAAGTCAGAAGTTATGCATGCAGTAAAGTCCATGAAAAATAATAAAGCTGCTGGTCCAGATGAAATACCAAGTGAATTGCTAAAATTGGTCAATGAAAAAAAAAACATATATCTTTTAGTCCAACTACTGAATACAATCTATTCCACGTGAAATGCTGACATCAACATTTATTTGTCTACAAGGAAAGTAAATGCCAAAGAATGTAATGATTATCGAACGATCAGTATAACGTCACAAACCTTAAAAAGCCTGCTAAAAATCATCCATAATAGAATACACGCTAAGCTGATTGGTAATTCCCAGTTTGGATTTCGGAATGGATTGGGCACAAGAGAGGCACTATTTTATTTTATCGTGCTGACCCAAAGATGTTTGGATGTTAATCGAGATCTTTATGTATGCTTTATAGACTACAACAAGCCATTCGATAAGGTAAAACATGACCGACTTATAGAAGTACTCAAAAACAAGAATCTGGATGTGAGGGATGTAACATTGATATCAAATTTATACTGCAGCCAACGATCAAATGTGAAAATTGGAAGAGAAGTGTCAGAAGTGGAGATAAGGAGGGGGGTCAGGCAAGGTTGCATATTGTCGCCGTTATTGTTTAATGCTTATTATGAAGAAATCATAGAAGAAGCTTTGGTAAACCAGACAGTCGGCATAAAACTGAACGGAAATTTAATTAACAACATTAGGTATGCCCACGATAGTCATAATAGCCGACAACTTGGAAGACTTAGAAAGAATAATGAACAAAATATTGAGATATAGTGGAGAATACGGACTCTCTCTTAACATCAAAAAAACCAAACTCATTAAAATTAGCAAGAACAACAATACAATACTTACTTGGCAACGATAATCATAGAAAATAACGATTATACTGCAGAAATAAGAGTCAGAAGTGAAAAAGCACGTGCCCAACTTCGTGAAAATGAAAACGATTTTATGCAGCAAAGATCTGACATTGGCCCTCAGAATAAGGCTAATTAAATGCTATGTACACAGTGTACTCTATTATGGAGCTGAATCATGGACATTAAACCGACTTAACGCGGTTGAAATATGGACATTTAGAAGATTGTTAAGGATTCCATGGGTAGATAAAGTGACGAATACAGTGTTAATTAGAATAGGCTGAGAGAGGGAAATGGAAAATAAAATAAAAGAAAGGAAATTGCAATATCTCGGACATGTGATGAGAGGTAAAAGATACAACATCTTGAGACTCATAATTTAAGGAAAAATAGAGGGTAGCTAGAAGGTAGCCTAGGAGGAAGATGCGTTTCCTGGTTGAAGAACCTGAGAGAGTGTTCAGAGCAGCTGCCTCGAAGGTCAGAATAGCCATGATGATTGCCAACCTTCTTCGCAGAGCTGGCACTTAAAGAAGAACATGTTTTGCTAGCCCGTTGACATTCCGTACAGTTATTTTAACCAATTAATCATTTAGTTAATTTGGTCACAACAGTGTTAAGAAGATTTAGTATTGTTTCCTTCTGTTTCATAAGAATTAAAGCAACATGGAGGATGGAAATCCACTCCTGTTGCAGAAGGATATGCGAACAATTCACTCAATACAAAAATAAACTGAGTTTCACACATTTTACAAAGATCTAATATCAGAAGTATTTTTAATCAATATTCAACTTCACATTATGAGAAACATCACATAAAACAGAGACGAATTGGATTCTTCAAGATGCTCAAAATTTAAATAAAGCTTTATCCATGAATCAAACATGACTGGATCAAAAATTCACATAATCAACCAAACAATTGAGTTTTCAATATTCACATGGCGAAATGAAAAAAATATTCATAATTTACTTGTTAATTTTTTTAATATATTATTTTCTATAATTTTCAATTCAATTAATATGAATCCGTAACTAAATGTAATTTACTGAAGATGTTTAATTAAAATGTTCCAAATATCGATTTAGATTTTATTATTTGTATAGGGCTGTAGAAAAATTTTGTATGCAACACAAGCATAAAGTGTCTTTTTTTACTCATGGAAAAATGTCCACTTGATGCACTTGTCGCGTAAATAACTATTATATCGTATTAAAATAATTCAATTTATTATAATATTTAACACTGGTGCCACCTGTTGGTAGACCTACAAAAAATTTTTGACGGCCGTGGACGGACAAGCAATATTTGGCAATTATCTTTTAGTTGTCAAATAATTGAAAGGTAACCATAGTAAATATATTATGGTGTCAATGTAGTAACATTTTTAAAATTAAAATAAAATATTACCTGAAGGCAGGGCGCAGGAGGCACAATATCAATTTCTAAGGGTTTGGTAGAACTTTCTTCACTGGAATCATTACTAGCATTCTGTGGATTAGAGACAGGGATATTAATTGTTTGTCTTCCTTTGATACTACTGCTTCCTGTGCTTCCAGTTGAACTGGTTAATGTATAACAAAAACTATTTATTGTCAGTGTTCCTTCTGATAAAGGAATAAGAGAGAGAATAATATCTGCTGTACTACTTCCTGCGATGATTAATGATTTTGTAACGTAAGTTTTAATAATAGCATCATGTTTTTGAACACCTGGTACATTGCTTATTTGCGTATTTTCTGACTTAAAGGTCCATAATAAATGGATATCTGCCATATTAAGTAGTGTTTGGAGAGAATTTACCAGCTTCAAAGAAAGTTGAATCGGTTCGTTAATAATAGCTACAGGTCTCAAGCTTTCTAATTGGCGTATACCATACAATGTGACCATGGGTTTAAATATCAAAGGTGCTACACCTTCCGCTTCATGAACAATCATTTCCTCAAGCTTTGTCCATTTGCTGTCTGTTACATCATTGTCTGACTCATTGAGAGTAATATCTGTAGCTGCTAATTTTCCAGGCGTCGATATAGGTCGTGAAGGACATGCTAAAAGTCTTAAGGATTTGATATCCAATTCTGGAACAGGCAAAATTGGACACACTTCTTGGCCAGAATCCTCTGCGACAGGTACTTTTGTAAGTAAACTAGCAATCACATCAGATTCCTTGTCATGTCGGAGTTTATTCTGAAAAATAAGATAATGGTACTAGAACTCAAGAAATTAAGAAATTAAATATGAGATTCGGAATAAGAAGACACAGAATATGAGGACAAATATCTAAAGAAAATATGCGAAATATGAAAATAATGTTTTTTCTGTTTATTTACGAGTACAATCTGGTCATAAATGACCAATAAGCAATTTGAATCTATCCTAGATCCTTAAATTACTAGAGTGGCTTGAAATCAAGAGTTTACCCTATGGTGTTCTCTTAATCTAATCTGATAAATAACGTACTAATGTTAACATGCACCAAGCGCACAAGCACTATGCTCTACTTTTTCACTGCCATTTAAACTAGTCGAAGGGCTTTGTCCCTTCTTGACTTTCATTGATTTGATCATCTTCTTGACTTTCATTGGATTAGCAAATGTGTGTGCTTTTTCTTCATTGCTCCTATCCCAATTACCGTCCTCTAGTCTAATGGGTGAGGAATGAATAATTGGTCTTTTTCTACCTAATTGGCCTATTTATTAAGGTTTTTATTGCATGGATTATATTTCTTATTTACAGTAGTTCTCCCTGTTTCTTTTCAACTAGTAGCATTTTAAATAATGAATGTGTTGCTTGTGTGAGTCCATTTCAAATAGGTAAAGAAATAATACATAAGACTTACTCACAATCAATTTAATTTAACTATCAGACGACCTTTTTCGCTTTCTACAATATGCAAAGCATATCGAGACCTAAAGATGCTTTCCATATTGTAGAAAGCGAAACCGGTCGTCTGATAGTTAAATTAAATTGATTGTGAGTAAGTCTTATTTATTATTTCTTATTAAGAAGACTGGTATTTTTTTAACTATAACTTTAAACGGCCTTTAATTAATTGGCCTATGATAATTTTCCTCATTTAAAGCTTTTGTTAACTTTCTATATTGTTCACCATCTTGAACATTAATTTTATTACATCATTATTAACAATTTTTGTACTGAAACAAATTTTCTTTAATTGAAGATATTTGTATAAGGTATCGTTTTGTTTAATGCTTTCTACTATCACTGGGGGGTCGCATCTTGATTTTCTTGTCTGTCATTTCTTTGGAAACAGGTTTTGGTGGTGTAGTGCAGTATTCTGCTTGTTGTGCTGGTTCTTTTTTTCTTTCTTCTGCCTGGTTGACTTTTGTTGCCAACCCTGTAAGTTGTGTCTGTAACTGTGCTATTTGTCTTTCGAGAACAGCAACAGTTTTATTTAGTGAATCTTGGCAATTTTCCAAGCAATGAATAAGGCCTGTTCATTTTGTGACCGCTGGCAATTCTCTTGAAAAATAATATTTGATTAAGAAAAAGCATTCTTTCTCTCTGTTTATTTTTTTCGATAATAAACTTCAACAAATCAATTAAGGAAACATACAGCTTAATAAAAGACAATACAAACATGTCTGAAAAATAGTCCAAATAGATGAATATGGAAAAATAAATAGATTTAAGAAAAAATTATAAAAAGGGAAATCGAAATTAGTTCCTTTTAAAATGGCACTAAAACTAGGAAGAATAAAACAGAAATAAGTTCAAAATAACTAAAAAAATTCTGTAAAATCAATATTGATTTCAAATATCAACAATAGGACAAATGATAGTAGGTTGCTTTTATAAGATTTTTTATTCCAAAAAATAAAATAGTCTTACCCCTAAAATTGTTATATATTCTTTTAAATATGTAGCTTGCTGCTGGGCAGTCTGTTTACTCTCTCCTGTTAAAAGTTTGGCAAAAGATGATACAGCTTCATCAAATTGTTGCAAATTGTTTGCTTGTCGGCCAATGGTATAATGTATATGATCAGTGGCCAGGTCCCATCCTGTATTTTTGTATACTTGATATGCCTGATTGTAACATTTTAAAGAGAATTTCCGTTGTGCGGCTTTAGCAAAGCGATGTCCCGCTAACACCTGTAATATTAAAATAAATTCATACGGTAATAGTAAAAATAATAAAAATGGAATCATTTTGCAAGAAATATCCATAACTTCAGATACAGGGTGTCCCAAATTGATATGTTTTGCAGTGTATGCCGAAAACTAGAGGAGGTAGAAAAGAAGTAGTTAAGATGTCATGACTTCTTTTTTCGTTAAAGTAATGATTGCCTAATCAAATCATCAATAGCTCCCCACATGAGCGAGATACAGGGAGAGTATTGAAAATTGTCGAAAACGACAGAGTTGTATATCTTCTTTATTAGGAAAATTAAACAAAAAGTAGGACTTTTGAGAGATATATTATGGAAGGGTTCAGTGGGGCACAATAATTTCTTTTTAAGGCTTCTTTTATATTCAGTCTGAGCTACTCTGCAATAAATTGTTTATTTGGCATAATGTTAAAGACAGAAACAAAACGCTGAGTAACACACTCTTAACATTTTATTATGCGGATAATAAATAATTATTCACAGTTTTATTTACCAGAAATAAGATCAATCAACTTATATATAAAAAAAATAGGACTAACAAATTTACCAATATCAAAAAATTACTTACTAACCAGTATTAATTTTACAAAAATAGAAAAATTATAATAAATGTTGAAAATGCCCCCCGTTTTGTTAATTATAATTAGTACCTTCTTCTTAGAGATCTTACACAACTGAGTATATGGACTGTCTCTATTTTACTAAATGCTTGATGAATGGTTTGTAATAATTCTTCCTTAATATTAAAGTCAGTTCTATTAATATTGTTTTTTAAAATTTACTTACTTACTTACTCCGTGGCGTTAAAACCCTTCGTGGGTTTTAGCCGACTCCACAACATGCCTCCACTGTTTTCTGTCTTGAGCAACCTCCATCCAATTCTCCACGCCCATAGTGCTTAGGTCTCCTGCTATATTATCTCGCCACCGGAGACGAGGGCGTACGCGTGGTCTCCTTCCAGTTGGGACTTCCTCCCACACCAGTCTTACTGTTCGTTCGACAGAATGTCTTCTGAGGTGTCCTGCCCACTGGAGTCTTCTGGACTTTATTTCTTTTATGATGTTGGCGTCTGGGTAAAGTTCTTCAAGCTCTTTATTAGTTCTTATCCTATATTGTCCTGATGCTTCATCAAGCACCGGACCAAAGATCTTCCTTAGGATTTTTCTTTCCCAAACACGTAGTCTCTCTTCATTTGCCTTTGTTATCGTCCACGTTTCGCTTCCATACATCACAACGGGTCGTATGATTGTTTTATAGACCTGTATCTTCGTACGTCGTGTTAGTTGTTTTGATTTTATAAGGTTTTGGAGGGCAAAAATACATCTGTTGCCGGCCTGAATCCTGTTGTTTATTTCTTGTGATCCGTTATTGTCTTCAGTTATTGTTGTTCCAAGATACTTGAATTCTCTAACGCGCTCAAAGTTAAAGTCATCGATGGTAATGTTCTGACCGATTCTGTCTCTGCTTTGGTTATTGCGGCTCATATACATAAATTTCGTCTTGCTTTCGTTGATTTGGAGCCCCATCTTCTCTGCTTCCTTCTCAAACCTTACGAAAGTCTCCTTCATCCTTAATCGCGTGTTTTCTATTAGATCTATATCGTCTGTAAATGCCAGTAGTAAGTTTGGTCCTTCTCGATGAAATACTGTATTCGGTTTTTCGATTCTTGCACTTCTGATTATGTGTTTTTTAAAATCCCCAAATAAAAAAATCAGGAGAATTTAGTTCTGGTGAACGAGGACCATGAGTTCAAATCAACCGATTATAAAATTTTTCATTTAAATCATTTTCAAAGAATTCGGTATTATAATCAGTTGCTCCATCTAGTTGAAACCAAAATATATGCCTATCAACCAAACATTTTTCATTAAAAATGTTATTGAATTTCGTTTAGCTGACAGAAGTTAGTATATCATCAAATACATGATAAATTAATTTATTATGCTTGACAAAACAACTAACGTTAAAACTGAATCTCCCTTACCTCCTGATCCCCTGAATTAAGTGAGGATTTTAGTCATTCTAATATCGTTAACTTTATCGCTAAATATTACCTGTTTTTTTCGACATTTTTTAATAATCGCCCTGTATCTCGCTAATGTGGGGAGCTATTGATAACTTGATTGAGCAATGATTAACGAAAAAAGAAGTCATGACATCTTAACTATTTTTTTTTCTGACTTGGGGTATACCCTGCAAAGCATTTGGGACACCTTGTATATGTCTGAAAAAATAGTGGCGGATCAATACTGCGTTATTTTACAAAATAACCTTATTCCAGAGACCATCAATAATCAGCAGGTAGTGGTAGATGAAGTAGATAATCAAAGTCCCAAACATATATCTGAGCCAATTGTACAAGTAATTCGAAGTTACATAATAATGATACAGTAAGCGAAATGAAAATAAGCTACAATTGTCAATTGGATCGCTATCCTTCGAAAGGAGACGGAGCAATAAGAAAAAGGAGCGAAATGTGCTTTATAAGAGTTTAATGGGCACACCCAGTTATCAGACACCAACAAGAATAAACTGTTGTAAGCAATTAGGCACGTTGTTAAAAATTACATCGAAGTGCTACTCAATTATGTAGAATATACCCATACATTAAAGTATTTTCACAAGCTGGTATAGCAGCAATTTCTGCGGCTGTGCAGCTTACAACAATGGTATGGATATTAAGATCTGAACACGACAGGTGTCTAACATTGGAAGGGCTAATTTCAGAAGGCAACCCTGGGAAAACGATTGGTAAATAAAATAGAATCACTAAATTAGAAAATTGATAGAATATATCCAGAAATGAGAAATAGAAAGGTAAGTACACCAGCTAAAGAAATAATGCTGACCACCGTGATAAATGTACACAATCCAAGAAAAATCACCGCCCAACAGTGTTTGGATAGACTAACGCAAAAACTCCCCATTTAATCAAGCAATATGATACGCAAAGTCAATAAAAGCCGGGACTGAGACAGTACTCCTTTCGAGCACTCAGGTAAGTGTGTTCTATATAAAACTCTGTTCTACTGTAGAAAGTGATAATAAATAATATTCAAAGCGGGGATCAATTTAAGAGTTTTGGGTAGATCAACTTGCACCTCTGTCAAGACTACTATCTATTCATTTGGTGTTAAGTGTATTAAGACGTATGTGGAAATTCTTCAGTCTAAAGTAGGAACACCTCTCATGAAAACGCACAAGCATCATCCTCGGAAGGCGATGAAACTAATAATGCCATGATGTCTAAAAGGAACAGGAGTAGATATAAGCAAGCAACTAAAAAACAAGTTGCTAATTTAAGAACTTATTTTCAAAAGCAGTCAGAAACTTCACTTACAACTGAGGCAACAAGACATTCATACTCACCATATATTCAAGTAAAACACGGGCATTTTGATGAAAGAATCTCTCCATGAGGGGCATCCTAAAGTCAGTCAGGACTATGTCGACAATATAACGTTAAACTATTAACATCAGGAAACATGATTCCCTAATCAGAGCGTTTCCAACTTGCCACTCCAGGATAACATAATTCCGACCAAAAACTACCTGAAGTATAACGTCAAATATCCTCAGGTGCAAGTCCAAAAAGCCATCACACATTTAACAGGCCATGTCCGCCTGAGACAGAGCAGTAGAGCTCTAAACTAAGTAGAACTTCGCGTATGACAGATTGGGTGAGGAATTCCTCATTCTCAATACAGCGTGTACTAATTGGTAAGAACGTCCTATAGATATACAGTATGCTTCAACAAAAATTTGGCCTCCTCCCAGAAACTCGGAAACCAAGAGCTTATTTAAAATAAAAAAAACACGTCAATCTGTATTGGGAGGTGGACAAATTTAAAAAATAGAGTGTCGTGTAGAGAAAAAAATTACCTTACAAATGATGTGCCACTCGACCACACTTGCTATTTTAAAAAAACTGCGGGTTGATGCGGGGCAGTGGGGGTTACTTTTGAGTGCATGAATTTTACATAAAAATTCGTCCCCCTCCCAATAAAAATTGACGTGTTTTCTTGAATTTTGAAGAAGCCTTTGGCTTCTAAGTTTCTGGGGGGTCCAATTTTCGTTGGAATACACTGTATAGGATAATATGACACGTGCCAATAAGGTAAACTAACTATACCACATATACGCAATACACAAAACTCAAAAACAAAATACTACAATACGTAACACACCAATACCAAGCAAGAAGACAAAATACGCAACAAAACAGGCAACAAAATACGTATGCAAAATAAGCATACAAAATATGAACACAAAATATGCACATAAAATACGCACACGAATATGCAAACAAAATACAACAAACATAATATATGCATACACACTTACACCATTCTGATACATCACCATGATACGAAAACAAAACGAGATGGCTCAGAAATGAGTTATTCTTCTGGGTCTAAAATAAAAATATAAAGGCATATAAAGCACATATAAAAGAGCAGAGGGGCGACTACAGTCGCGGAATCTGTCTCTGTGCTAAATAGATCCTAATGACCCCAACCAGAATCCTAACGTTGAAGCTTCAGCATAGTAAGGCAGCTTCGGCAAAACTTACTATTGATAGGATAAGGTTTGATTTAATCTTGATACAAGGGCCCTTTATATACCTAGGCCAAATAAAAGCTCTATCGGTTATTGACGAAGTACCTATATATAGCAGATCTTCCGAAGTCCCTAGGACTTGTATAATAGTTGATGGAAGATTTGCAATAAGTCAATTTGCTGCAGTTCGACCGCTGTAGAGCAGACGGCTTTCAGAGGAAAAAACATTAAAGGGGGCTCATACTCCACCAGGAGCTAACCATTAAACTAAAACTTCTCCAAATCAACCACCCCTATTATTATAAAAATGCCCCCATAGTATGGAGAATAACAACTGCAAGCTATACTTGGACCACACTGTGGTTACAGGCAACCACTGATAAATAATAGACTGAATCTCATATTAGATAACAAACTAACTAGATAAACAGCGCTTATTGATATGAAGATATCTAACAATAAACCAGTATAGGGATCTTGCAATACAAATTAATAAAAAACAAACCATTCTGAAGTTTCTATTAGACACGAGTTCCGTAAACATAAAAAACTGTGAACAATTCAAATATATGTATAGACAGTAATACAAAGATCAAGAGTAAACTTTAAAATTACTTAAAATGCTACTTACCATATGAAAAGCGTATTTTCTGACCATTTTAGTTTGCAGAAAACAATATGAAGCTTGTTCAAGCAGCAAAGCAGAACGCAAATCAGATTCTTCTCCTATCATTCTAATCAACTGGTGAGCTGCTTCTCCATACATTTTTCGAAATTTCAAACATTCAGATCCTAAAATCGTTGCTCTGGTAGCAAACTGGGGCATTCTGCAATAATATTAAATAATTAGAAACCTATACCCTGGCCGCTTAAAACATGGAATCCAAGGTTGCATCATCACTTAATGCAAGCATCGACAGGCGGTCAAAACTAGACCTTCTGAGAAACTGTTTACACCGTCATTCTTTGTGTCATGATACTATAACTTAAATGTTTTATGTATCATGATCTGTGTTTCACTTCCGCTGGCTGGTGAATTTTGTTGGCAATGCTAAAAATTGTTTGTAGAGTGCACGCGTACGTATATTAATTTGTATTAATCATTGTGTGAGTTAGGTTTATTTCCGATTTTATTAATTGTGTGTTACGTTTATTAAATATGGATGTAAACACTCTTTCTCCTCCAAGAAAAAGATAAAAAAACACATTTAACTGTTGAGGAAAAAGGTGTAATAATGAACACTAATAAAAAAAGCATCCCAAGAAATAGCAGAACAGGGAAATATTGTAAAATTCACTGCTGATGCTACAGGTAACTATTAGTATTAATCATATATTTCTTTGTCAGCCGATTCTTGCGAACAAAGATATTCTATTCTATTCAAACAAAACGCATTCCATCAAATTTTATGACTTAAATTTTATTTAAAGATTACTTTTGACATATTTATATAAACTTTTTTATTTGTCCACCTTATAAAAAATCGAAATTTAGAATTTTAATCTTCACGCAAAAGCCAATAAAATGTTTAAATTTAATGTAAATCAATAACCCGTAAAAACAGTATAAATATATTATAACGAGAGTGTTCGTTTTTATTAAGCGGTGTAAACGTGGGAAAAAAGATAACATAGGGAGAAGAATATTTAAGAGTGCGTGCCATTCACGTGATCATTCCATCTTTTCAGCGGCTTAACTATATTGCGACAAACAAGCATAAGTGATAGTTTCCAACATTCTGGAACAATTGTGTGTAGAGAGTGGATGGCATTGGAACATGTCTATTTACCACAGAATATTTGTATTTTTTTTTTAATTAAGGATAAGATGGGGGTAAAAGATCACTGACACTCGTTTCTCGTCTAGGGACTCATCAACACATTGTTATTAAGACAAACTAGATTAGGTCACGGGCAGGAAGTAACGACAAATAGGGTAAAACAGAGGTTAGGATTCTAATTACAGAATGTTTTCACCTATATACATAAATCCATATATACATACACAAATACATATACAGTGAGGAAACCACTTATGAAATAAAATTGTTTGTGTCCTATATATTATAGAAAATAATAAAAAAACTCTGGAACACGTTAACTTTTAAAGAGAACTTTTAAAAGAATTTCCAAGTTTTTCTTTGGAGAGAAGCTGCATCCTGCCCAAATCCAAATACTAGAAGAGCTCATAGCAAAGATAACCAAGACTTCAATAAGGACGAAGTCCAATCCAAAGGAGGGAGGAGAAATGTGACCGTAAGCCTCCTGACTATGAGGAGTCAGCAAATCCAATAATCGAAGGTATAAAAGAACGGAGTCTTTATCCAAATTGATTCCTTCTTACCGCCATTTTGATACCTTCTTTCCATCTTTTTGCTGGACAGCCTCTCCCTCTAGTAATGACTTTTTTATACCCATTCTATTCCGAATTTATTCATTTCTGACATGGTCTAATAATGTAACTTACAACATCTCCTATAAAACACTGTTTCAAACGTATTCATTTTTCTTTTGTTATCTTTTGATAATGTGCAGACATCTGCTCAGTATGTTACAGTGCTTTCTACCAACGACGTGAACAACTTTTTCTTCACTGATTTGACACATTTTTATTCCATAGTAGGGAATGTAACTTTCTTGATATAGCTTTACCTCTTCATCTTTTGTTTTATATATCCGCATTATCCTTTTCATCTTCATTGAATCCTCAGAAATCCTAAGTATCGGTAACATTGTGTTCTTCTCGAATGTCACCTGCATTTTATACCTTTTGCATCATGTTAGATCATCACAAGGTTATAACCCACTGCAATGTAGATTGCCTAACAATAGTAACGATGTACATATATTATATATTTTGCTGAATATATCATATCACATGACAAATTACTTTGCCAATAATTAAATATATCTGTATATCAAGTACAAAACAAAAAATAAAACTTACTTGCATGTATTTAAATAAGTAGTAATACTCTCCTCCATATAATCACAGGTCTTTTTGGTTGATTGATTGGCCATAAATGCAGCCAAAGCAGCCATTTCCAGCGCCCCAGCATAATACAACCAAGCTTGGTCAGTATTGTACTCTCTTTTTGCCAGATGGTATGTTTGGAAAGCTAAAGAATATTGACCCAACATAAAATACAGATCGCCCATTTTCCTTATCTGTAATTCAGGAGAGTCAGGGGAATACCTAAGATAAATTATAAAGAATCACTAATTTTGAAATTAAATTTTAAATATTACTTACACCAGATTGTTAATAGCTGCTGCACTAGCACCAGGTTTATTCTGAGTGAACCATCTTTTTGTAGCACTGAATAATGATTTACTGACCCCTTTCCTATTAGCAACTACTTCATTTAAGGAATGTATTTGTTTTTCTATGTATGGTATCAAACAACCTTTTGAAAATTCGTATATAAGAAACTTAACTTGTTCTATATCCTCTGTAGATAAACAGTGGCCATGAGTTAGTTTTGGTTTAGCTACATTCTTCTGATGTTGTTCAATATCAACTAAAAAATCATCCTGAAAACCAAATACCTTAAAAAGGTATCCTTCTTTTTTTAGTAACGTATTACTTTATTTATCAAATGTCCTGTGTACTTACCAATAACATACCATCATTTACTGGACTAAGAGGGTGGTAATTTATATTCTTAACTTCGTCAGCTTCTTGTCCAATCTCTAAGGAAGACTTCATAGATTTACTTTCTACACTAGGGCCCCACTCTTCCACATCAAGTGAATTACTTATGAACTGGTTCCAAGGATCAGGTAAATGTTCTGATGTGGAACTACCAGGAGGCCTCGAATTTAATTTTAATAGAAAACAATTTGATGGTCCATGTTTTCTCTTCAATGCATCAAATGACTCATTAACACTAAAACAAACAAAAATGATACTTGCCATTCTTCTCTTGGCTGTATATACAGTGTGGAAACCACATTATGGAATAAAATTATTTCTGTCCTTGTGTTAAAAAATCATAAAAAGCGCTGAGATCCGTCGACTTTTATATATAAATGTGCTCTTTTAAAACATAAATTGAAATGTACAGGGTGATTCATATAGTCTAGCATAGTCCATAATTTTTATTTTCACTTTCAAGTCTGACAACGCAACTGTCGCGTTCAGTGAATATAGCCTCAGAGACCACCAACGCGAGTCGCGCTGTCTTTGACTATATGACAATATATGAACGTTATCTCAGCTGATTTTTCACAAATTACAAAAAATATCTGCTGACTGCTTGGAAACACTGGCATATACTGGAGTTTGTGTTTGGTTTTCGAATGTTGATGTTAAACTTTATTCTGAGTATATGACAATGTATGAACTGTTATCTTGGCGGATTTTTCACAAATTATAACAAATATCTTCTGTCCCATTAATAAATTAATAAAATATTAATAAATATTAATAAAATAAATTCGATGAAAAAATATGGAACCCTCAATTTCATTGCTTACTTTTTAAATATTCAAGCTAGACGTGCTCGAAAACGACAAAATTAGCTGTAATAAAAGGTTGTAAAGTAATAAAAGTAAAAGCATCGGTAAGCTTTGAAAGGATCACCAGATGTATTTAGATTATATTGCATTTCCAATAATTTGTTGTATTATCATAATCCAATCCCGTCGATTTATTTTGCTATGCATTCAGTAATATTTTTTACGCCTTCGGTGTTGGATGTTTTTTGGTTTTACTGTTAGTCATTGCACGTGATTTGCTAAATACTTCAATTTTAAATTATTTTTAAAATGAGTGATGAATATTGCCAACTTTCGACTTCTAAACGAGGTAGGTGGGAAACTTCTCAGCCAATCTCAGATGATGAATTATTACACATATTAGAAGATTCACATGAAGATAGTGACGCAAGTGATGATGAGTCTCAAAATATTATTGAATGGTCTTCAGAGGTTCAACAGCCTACAGTGCTACAATTTACATCAATACCAGGATTGAAAATTAATGTGGGTGGCAGCAATCCTATTGATTACTTCAAGTTATTGGCATGTGAATTATTCTATGACCTGATTATTCAAAATAGCAATTTATATGCCGTTGATATTCTTTCTCTAAGTAAACCTGAGCTTGGAAGGATATAACTGTAGAATAATTTAAAATTTTTCTTGGTTTGTTGTTTCACATGGGAACCATAAAAATTAATCGTATGAATGATTATTGGAAGAAAAATCATTTATTTAGTATTCGTGCCTTACATTTTAACAATAATAGTGACAATAACCAGTCCAGACTTGCCAAGATATCTACATTGTTAGATTTTTTTAATAATAAAATGGAGAATCTTTATTATCCAGAAAGAAAATTAGCCCTGGACGAATCTATGATTTTATGAAGAGGAAGCCTTAGTTTTAGTCAATTTCTCAAGGGCAAACGACACAAATATGGTGTCAAACATTAGTTTATAGTGGAGCTAGTCACCCCGTAGTTGGAGGACGTAATCATACGGAAAAAGTAGTGCTAAATTTGATTGATTCGAAACTAAATGTTGGTCACTCCTTATATATGGATAATTTTTATAATAGTGTTCCATTGTGTAAAAAACTACTTTCGGTTAAAACTTATCTTACAGGAACATTGAGAACAGGAAGAGCGGGAAATCTACACGAAGTTGTCTCTCGAAAATTAAAACAAAATGAACTGGTGAGTGCTTACAATAATAAAGGGATATGTGTGTGTAAATGGAAAGATCAGCGAGATATTTTAATGATCTCTTCCGAATTTGATCATGAAATAGTTCCAACAATATCTAGGAAAGGAATTGATAAAAAAAGCCCTGTTTAGTCGCTGAATATAACAAAAATAAAGGTGGCATTGACTTAGGCGACCAGATGTTAAATTATTTAAACTAAAAGAGTAAATTTAAAATTTACAGAGTAAATTTTTATTTGCCTAAATTTTTGAACATAATTGAGCAAATAACATCGCATTATTAATTACACATTAAAAAAATATATATTGACATCACACATTTAAAATATATTATCATTACAAATTAAATGCTGATCAGGGAGAATGATAGACGAGGAACTCCGCTACAGTATAGGGCTCAATGTCAACTAGGTGTTGAAAAACCTTTCTTTTAAAAGCTCTATAGTGTGTTTCCTGTTAAATATCAGATGGTAGACTATTATAAAATTTAACACAGGCATTCAAAGGATTTCTCTCTGTTATAGACAATATGTGAAGTGGCAAATTCAAATTAGGGCTTCTTGTATTATATTCATAATTGGGAAGCAGGTGATAAAACAAAGAAATTTTTTTAAAATGGAACATAATACATTCAAATATATAGATGGCTGATCACCACGGATCACCCAAACTGCCTTTTTTTGGACTATAAAGACAGTTGAGCTATCTACTGTAGCACCCCAGAAGATTACTCCATATCACATAACAGAATAAAAGTTTGCATAATATAGTGATAGTAAAATCCCCTGGTATAGATAGCTCTTTAACACTCTTAATGAGTAGCAAGCTCTATTCAGTTTTTTCATTTTTATCTTTATTTTTTATCTTTATTCAGATTCTGGTCAATATGAATACCAAGAAATTTAACTGATCTAGCAGGTTCCGTGTTTTGTGATAGAAAATTAATTGTGTCTGGAAACTGTTCTTGTGACTGGCTGGTTCTAAAGTACACAAAAACTCTCTTATCAGTTTAAGCAACAACTGATTTCCATTGAACCACTGTTCAGCCTTGCTTAGAATTTGCTCTGACACTGTGAGGAGTGTTTCCAAAGTTTTTTCCCAGAAAAGCACATTTGAGTCATCAGCGAAAGTTACAAGTTTTGTAACTTTTACCTACCAACCGCATTTGGAAGGTCATTTATGTAGACCAAAAAGAGAAAAGGCCCCAGGACACTCCCCTGTGGTATGCCTAATTTTAAATTGATTGGTTCAGAGTAAACCTTACATCCCCTTTTCTCCAGGCATACCTTTTGCAACCTATCTGTGAGAAACGATTTTATCCATTTTAATGCCAGTCCCTGTATTCCATAAAGATGTAATTTTTGTAATAAAAGAACATGATCTAGGCTATCGAAAGCCTTAGATAGGTCCAAAAAAGCACCTAGTGTTTTCATCTTTGCCTCCAGTTTTTCTAAAATTTTTGATATAAAATCATAGGTAGCTGTCTCAACAGATCTCCTTGCAAGAAAACCATGCTGTGAACTACTAAATAAGTTGTTTGTAGTAAAAAAGTTTTGTAGTCTGAAATATATTGCTTTTTCGAATATTTTTGAGAAATGGTGCAAGAAGGCCTATTGGTCTATAGTTCTCCATCTTAACAACATTACCTTTTTTATGTGGTGGCTTGACAATTGCCAGTTTTTAAACTTTAAGGAAATTTACCTTGCCTGAAAGAAGCATTAACTATAAAAGAAACAGGAAGAGAAATCTCTGATGAAACATATTTAATAAGTTGGTTGATATTTCATCATAACCAGAGCTATGCTTGTATTTTGTTATTTATTATGTGACTTATTTCTTTCTCTGAAGCAGGAGTTAAAAACATGCAACGATTAGCTTGTTCGATATTAATTTGAAAATTTTTTACACACTTTATTTTCTCTACAGCTTCTGGCACTGCATTTGCCATAAATTAATTTATTTCGTTAGAAAGCACCTTACGGTCACCCTACACACAGAAATTACCTTGATTTTGGAAATTACCCTTAATCTCTTTTACCAATTGCCAAGCCAAACAATTTTTTTGAGATTGAGTGAGTAAAGAATTGTTTTTGAGTTTTTCTGTCCTATAAATATGTTTATAATCAACATTATTGGTAGGCAGTGTAAAGAAAACATCAAGCCTAGATTTACAATGTTTTATATTATCATTTTTAAAGTACTTTTGTGATTATTTTTTATTTGCTGTATTTATGTCTTTGAGTGGAAAACATTATATAAAAATTTTCTGAACTATACTCATAAAAGCATCCCACTGATTATCTACTTACTAATGCCTCAAAAACAGATACCCAGTCTACATTACCTAACATGAATTTAAAAAAACATTTATTCTCCTTGCTAAATATTAGTTTTTTTAGTATATTTGACTCAAATTCATTTGATTCAAATTTTACCTTTTGAGCAGTATGATCAGATGTATGAGTATTGGATACAAGAGAATCAAATATGTCAAGATTTGTAAAAATATTATCTATACAGATTTTTGTTACCTTGTATGCATGTATAGTCTTTGATGGAAGGTTTAATATCAAAGGAGTTCAAAAATATTTTTAATGTGTCTAGCTACCTTGCACCCTCAAGCAGCATATCTAAGTTAAAATCACCAGCCAGAAAAATGATGGAGTCCTTGTCAACTAAATCACAAAGTATTTGGTCTAATTTGTTTATTAAAACTTGTGGGTCTTCTGTTCGATACAATAGAAATAAGTTTTAAAATAATAACACAAACAATAATTTTATTCCATAAGTGGTTTCCACACCATATATTTATATATATATATATTAATTATATATATATATATATATATATATATACAGTATAATTGAAAAGCAAATATTGCTAGAAATAAATGTTCTGCCAATTTCATAAGTTGTTTAAATGTCAGTTCTGTGTTGCACTTTCTAGCACTTTCATCTGTGTGTTCTTCACTGATGCTCGCTACAAGTAAGCACTGCCTTACATATTTTATTTATTCAGTGTTTACTAATATTGCTAGAAAAATGTCTGCTAATTCAAAGTTGTTTAAATGTCAGTTCTGTGTTGCACTTTCTAGCACTTTCATCTGTGTTGTTTCTTCACTGATGCTTCAGCTACATAGGTAAGCACTGGCCTTACATATATTTTATTTATTCAGTGTTTACTTTCTTCACTCATATATTTGCTCTTTCATAGTATTACTCAGTTATACTAATATGCTGGCATCCTTATTGTTGTTTCTTTGCACCTTTAGGTCATTAAAAAGGTAAAGGTTGAAGTTGTACCACCAATATCATGAAATCAATCAGTCCATGTTTAGTTTTTTAGCAGAATGTTTTACTAAGATTCACAACCCAAAAAATATGTGTTTTCAAATATATTTTTAAAAAGATTTTTTTTTGTTATTCAGTAATTTCCCAGATCAGCCTGTTTATTGTAGTTTTCTAGAGTAGACCCCTTAGAACACATAGTATCCACTCTATAATCATGGAGATTAAGAAAAATTGACAAATATACTCAGAAAACAAACAATAAATTAATATTAAATAAAAACTTAATTCTGTTTTTCTATCTATTTAGCATGATTTACTTACCCATTACTCTCTCCCTCTATGTTGTCATGTATAATTACAAAATATTTCAAGATCACTGAGTTAAACCACTTTGGAAGTTTTCCAAGCTCCTTATTATGAACTTGATTTAAATTTTTTATCATATTCTCAAAAGTTTCATCTGGATTTTTGTCAGCTGAACTGACTACTAAGATACATGCTAGAAAATGTTTAGTGAATTCATGGTCCGATGGATATTGTACTTTTAAAAATGTATGTCTCCATGATTCGAACCAAGGGGCACTTGCAGGTATTTCTAAATTATAGTTTCCAACTGTCACAGATGTATTTTTACTTTCAGATGCACTGCTTACTGATGTGTTTAACAATTTTCTTGCCACTGCTGGCTGTGGAGGTACCCATGATATATCCAAAAATGTTAGCTTTAAGTTTCTGACTACATGTGTGGTTCCATTGGGATCCCTGTATGAAACTAAAATAAAACAAAACATAAATTTTATTATTAAAAACTATTATTCACATGTTTAAAATTATAAAAAGATCACTGCATTTGTCTAACTTGATATCTAGTACAAGTTTATAACCAGCAGTAGATTAATAAAGATTAAAACAAGAACACACCTGTAAAAATTCTTTAAGCAATATCAAATCTGCCTTTAAAATTTTGCACAGATAAAAAATTTATTTCAAAAAGACATGTTCAAACCATGGGAAAAATTATATCAGTGAAGAACATGGTCTATGATGACAAAATAAGATGATCATTACAAAATAAGATTTAGAATTGGATTGGTTGTCAAATGTGTAATTATCTCCCACCTTAAGTAATAACAAATTGAGCCCAAATGAGACTACAAGATTAGACATACTGTAATAGGTGTACATAACTTTCCAGAAATATCTGAAAATTGAAAGGCTTAAAGATTCAAAATGTAAAAAAATCGAGAGTTTCTACAAACATAAACAAATACATGTGAAATTTGAGCTCACAGGCAAATAATATGAATAGCACAGAATCGAAAATATCGAAACAAATAGCACTTAAATGGTTAAATATTAACATAAACCTTAGGTAATGAACATGCTGAAGTAGAACTTGAAAGTGGGAAAAAACTCCCAACACAATATATAGACCGACTTTAAATTTAAAACATGTACAATTATTTTGTTATCAGTTTTACTTTCATCTATTAGAAGGGTATAAATCTAATTATATTAAACTTATTTAGACTCAAACAAAAAGTTTTATTCAAAAGTGAGGAACAGATTTTATTTTAATAAATGTAGTTAATTCAGACATACCATCATTGTTTAACTTGCAGAATGGTTGTAACAACTCTATAAAATCCAAGTTATTTTTCTGGCAACTTTTTTCTGCAAGGCTAGTGCACATCACAGCTATTTGGGGAGTAAATGCATTTTTGATCAATTCTTGTGGACTTTGTTTGTATTGTGCCATATTATACCAAAAATATAAGAAATCAAACGTTTACGAAATTATCACAAAATTTTTTACATACTTTTTATTTATTTTTGAAAATAGTATTATGTTTTCATTATCAAATAATACCACCTAAATCACAGAAACACATTCTAAATGTGTCAATTTAGTACCATTTTTTGACATATGATATAAATATAATTTTTCACAAATACCCTTGAAGTTACGATAGTATACTGATATGAAGTTGCAGCACCTTTAAGACAGGTTTCACACTTATCGGTTGTCTACACGGATTGGTTGATTTTTAAACAACTTAAAAGACTAACTTTAACTTTTTAGAATAATAACAGCTCAATAAATAATAAAAAATAACTTGATAAATATATCTACTTTGTATCATCTCCTAGTTTAATTCGTAAAAATCATTATTTACTATATAAAACTGAAGGACATTATTTTTATTTGGTGACAGATTTACATGTTTTAAAGGACAGAAGTGATGTTCGTAAATATTTTTTAAATGCGAAGACTAAATTTTAATTGTTGTAGTTTAATTAATATCATTACTATGGTCCAAAGTCTACATTGAAATTCGAATTCTATTGGTCCTATTGACATTCCTAATGTGAACTAACTTCATGTTATATGAGGTGTGGACTATAATCTTTTCAGGTTCAATTCAATGGTTTAAGTTGTGGTATCTGCCAAACCCGCATATGACAAAATTGTGCCGATAACCAGATTATTGAACTCTTGGAAAAGAAAGATATTGATATAAATCTGTTATTTATTAATACAATTAGTATAATGGCTACACCTACAAGAATATTAAGCCGTCTATTGGGTAAGCACTTACATAATAAAATGGCAAGAGTTTTAGTTTCAAGACGACCTTTGCCAATTAATAATTTTTGGATTTTCAGCTGACGGTATCAAAGTAAAACAACCTATTAGATTTAATAGTTATGAAAAGACCCGACCAAATTTAAAATTATCGGCTCAAACCAAAGTTATATGCCAAGGCTTCACTGGGAAACAGGGAACTTTCCATAGTAAACAAGCTATTGAGTATGGAACAAGAATGGTTGGTGGAGTGTCTCCTGGAAAAGGTGGAAAAACTCATCTTGATTTACCAGTTTTCAACTCTGTTAAAGAGGTAAAGTTTTAATAACATTTTTGTTTATGTCAAACAGTTGCCTGTATTTTTTTATTTAGTTATCCAACTCCCTGTGGCTAATTTAACAGATAAAATCAATATTAATATTCAAATTGTAGTAATTATGCACTCCCATGCATTCAATTAAAAGACAATATTTAAATTACTGTACTTTAAGTATTTGAACCAGTACTCAATATAGATAATTATTGTTTGTTTTTGTAAATATCCTAACAATAGCTCTGATAAATATATTGTTTTGATATGGTATTGTTCAGAACTGATTCATTCAATTATTCATTATTGTTTTTGACTCAAAGAAATATAGAATCAAATAGCATACAGTACCTATGTTATGAAAATAGCTCTTTAGAAACATTTCTATGTAATGTTTTTGTTTGTTAAATGTATATATATATATATATTATATATATATATATATATATATATATATATTAATATACATACTACCAGAATATTATAATAAAGCCACACCATCAGATGTCTAATGAAGTGAAAGCACTTTATACATCTACCAGCTTGGCTATTAGACCAACTAGATGTTAGTCTCAAGAGCTATCAGTAATCCTGAGCATGTTCATAATATCCCTGATAAACAAGAGGTCATGTTGAAAATTCAGGAAGTTTAAATTCATCAGCCACCTATAATTTCATTTAGATAGCTGCCAGATTCATCAATACTGGAGATCAATATTGTAGACCCTGGCTACTCACTATATCGAGATCTATCTGAATCCTGTGAAGATGATCAGACATGATCATGGATGATTGCATCTCTTTTCCACAGTATGTTTGCATCCTTAACACAATTATGATGACTAAATAGCTTATTTATCTATCTAGTTTTTTTATAACATTTATTTTACATATTGTCTCTAATATGATTAATTAATTAATTATATGAACTTGAAATTAACCATAATTAATTCCACTGTGTGTGAGTGTTACACTGCAGAGGTGCGAATTAATAAGAAGAAGATTGTAATCCTATGTATCTACTGAACAGAAGACCCACAAGTTGTAATAAATAAATTATACCAAATACTTTGTGATTTAGTTGACAAGGACTCCATCATTTTTCTGGTTGTGATTTTAACTTAGATGTGCTGCTTGTGGGTGCGAGATGGCCAGACACATTAAAAATGTTTTTGAGCTCCTTTGATATAAAACCTTCCATCAAAAAATATACATGCATACAAGGTAACAAAAAATCCTGTATAGATATTTTTACAAATCTTGACATATTTGATTATCTTGTATTCAATCTTCATACATCTGATCATACTGCTCAAAAGGTAAAATTTGAATTAAATGAATTTGAGTCAAATATAATAAAAAAAACGAATATTTAGCAAGGAGAATAAACATTTTTTTTTAAATTCATATTAGGTAATGTAAACTGGGTATCTGTTTTTGAGACATTAGAAGTAGATAATCAGTGGGATGCTTTTATGAGTATAGTTCAGAAAATTTTTATACAATATTTTCCAATCAAAGAGATAAATACAGCAAATAAAAAAAAATCACAAAAGTACTTTAAAAATGATGATATATAACATTGTAAATCTAGGCTTGATGTTTTGTTTACACTGTCTACCAATAATGTTGATTATCAAGGTAATTTCTGTGTGGAGGGTGACCCTCAGGTGCTTTCTAATGAAATAAATCAATTTATGGCAAATGCAGCACCAGAAGCTGTAAAGAAAATAAAGCATGTAAACAATTTTCAAATTAATATCAAACAAACTAATCACTGCATGTTTTTAACTCCCGTTTCAGGGAAAGAAATAAGTCACATAATAAATAACTTAAAAAACAGCATAGCTCTGGTTATGATGAAATATCAATTAACTTAATTAAATATGTTTCATCAGAGATTTCTCTTCCTCTTTCTATTATAGCTAATGCTTCTTTCAGGCATAGTAAATTTCCTCAAATTTTAAAACTGGCAATTGTCAAGCCACTACATAAAAAAGGTAATGTTACTAAGATGGAGAACTATAGACCAATAAGCCTTCTTGCACCATTCTCAAAAATATTCAAAAAAGCAATATATTTCAGACTACAAAACTTTTTTATTAAAAACAACTTATTTAGTAGTTCACAGCATGGTTTCTCTGCAGAGAGATCTATTGAAACAGCTACCTATGATTTTATATCAAAATTTTTAGAAAAACTGGAGGCAAAGAATAAAACACTAGGTGCTTTTTGGACCTATCTAAGGCTTTCGATAGCCTACATCATGTTCTTTTATTACAAAAATTACATCTTTATGGAATACAGGGACAGGCATTAAAATGGATAAAATCATTTCCCACAGATAGGTTGCAAAAGCTATGCCTGGAGAAAAGCTATGCTGAACCAATCAATTTAAAATTAGGCATATCACAGGGGAGTGTCCTGGGGCCTTTTCTCTTTTTGGTTTACATAAGCTACCTTCCAAATGTCGTTGTTAGTAGTTCCTCAAATCTTGTAAATTTTGCTGATGACTCAAATGTTCTTTTCTGGGAAAAAAACTTTAGAAACACTCCTCACAGTGGGAGAGCAAATTCTAAGCAAGGCTGAAGATCGGTTGTTGCTTAATACTGTTATTAACTGGTAGTTTTTGTCTACTTTAGAACCAGCCAATCACGAGAACAGTTTCCAGATACAATTAATTTTCTATCACAAAACACGGAACCTGCTAGATCAGTTAAATTTCTTGGTATTCATATTGACCAGAATCTGAATTGGGAGGAACAAAAGAAAATACAACAAAAAAACTGAATAGAGCCTGCTACTCATTAAGAGTGTTCAAGAGCTATCTAGACCAGGGATTTTTACTATCAGTATTATGCAAACTTTTATTCTGTTATGCGATATGGAGTAATCTTTTGGGGTGCTGCAGTAGATAGCTCAACTGTCTTTATAGTTCAAAGAGGCAGACCGGGCGATTTTAGAACTAAAGGCGGAAAATCCTGTAGAGGCTGATTCAAATCACTCAATATACTCACTTTCTCAGCCATCTATATATTTGTGTCTATTATGTTCCTTTTTAAAATTGTTTTTTGTTTTATCATTTGCTTGCCAATCATGAATATAATACAAGAAGCCTTAATTTGTTTTTTGCCACTTTACAGATTGTCTATAACAGAGAGAAGTCCTTTGTATGTGTTTGTTAAATTTGATAATAGTCTACCACCTGACAGTCAACAGGAAACACACTATAGAACTTTTAAAAGAAAGGTTTTTCAACATCTTTCTTTTAAACTTCAGCTCAACATTGAGATGTATACTGTTTTGGGTCTTCCTCTTCTTCTCTGACCAATGGATCTATCAAGGAGGGTTTTTCTAGCTGGGTCATTTTCTTCCATCCACATTACATGCTCTATCCAGCTCAGATGTCCTATCTTAATAAGTTTTTCGATATCTGGTTCCTGGTATATTCTATAAAGTTTGAAGTTGTATCTTCTTCTCCACACTCCATTTTCATTCACTGCTCCATAGATTCGTCTTATTATTGTTTTGTAGAGTTTCATTTTTGTATTTCTCAATATAATTGTAGATTTAAGGAGGAGATTGAGCCCAACATAGCATCTGTTCGTCATGCAAATTCTGTGATTTATCGCTGGGGTAATATTATTTTCAGTGTTAAGGAGCGCTCCTAGCTATACAAATTTGTTCATTACATCGATGGCATCGTTTTCTATAACAAGTGGTCATAGGATTTGTGGCTGTGTGCTTATTTTCATATACTTCGTTTTATTGGTGTTTATTATTAAACCCATTTTTGTAGCTGATTCTTTTAATGCTACATATGCATCTCGTATAGAGTTTAGGCAAGAATTTGCACTGATTT